AAATCAAAAAGATTTCATTATTTTTTCCTGACTAAGTGACATCCTAAAAATTCATAATTGATTCTAAAAGCCGGTGTTTAATCTGTTGGACATCTTTTTGTTGGCCCCAACTTCTGCAGACTGCTTTTGTTGATATCGGCTCGGAGAGATCCGGAACTTCAAGAACCACATTGCACAGTTTAACACCATTTAGTTAAATACAGTTGGCCCGGCTATGTAAACTATAATCTCGGTAAATGACAGCCTTTATAAAGCGACCATATCCGACCAGCACTAAACATCACATAGATTAAGATAAATACAGTGGACCCTTTGTATAATCTCAGTGAAGGACAGCCTTTATAAAACGACCACATCCGACCAGCACTAAAGCTTACATAGTAGATAAATACAATGGATCCAATGTAAAATCTCGGTGAAGGACAGCCTTCATAAAGCAACACATGGCTTTATTCGAAGTTCTACGGTATTTATCAATCAACTCTATAATTTTTTATTTTTTTTTTAATTTTTTTTTTAACGATTTGTTAAACATCTGATAGCTAGATTTAAGGAAAATACATTGTCAAATGTATGTAGTATGTATGCACTTGAATAATTCTTACCGGTGCCGGCATAGAGTCGGTCAAGTAAATGTTTGATTTTATCAGTGAACTAGCGGAAACAGCTCCGACGCATATGGAAATAGGGTAAAATTAATAGGATAAAAAACACATAAGTAATGATAAAGAAAACAAATATAAAATTGTTAAATAAATAGATAAATATTATTTCAGGATAACTAGAACTTTTACTTAACAATAAAAGAAAAACTTTTATTTAAATCAACCGTGAAAATATAAGAACGTTCATTTTTACATTCATTTATTCTCGATCTCATTTATTTTTTTGGGCACTCGTTCCATCGCTTGTTCATTCGCTGTTTTCAACTTAGGCGATGTATCTTGATATATCTTTGGATATCTGTTGCACTGAATTGTTCTTCATTAAAAAAAAAAACTAAGTCAGAGCATGGCTAACTCACAGATCGCAACCTGAAACAACCTCTGGGCTGATCTAAGTCAGGGCATGGCTAACTAACAGATCAAACCCTGAAACAACCTCTGGGCTGATCTAAGTCAGGGCATG